AAGTTTGTTGTTAAACTTTTTGCCACCACTTTAAATGCAAAACAACTGCGAAAATCGTTTTTTTCAATTCTTAAAACTTTCAGCTTTCCGCCAAAATTTATCCAAACCGTGAGTTATTGCACAGGTACACCCTTGAAGGTGTCCTCTACAAACTGACAGAATTTGAGGGTATGTTTTGGGGGGGTACCCCTAAAGAAAGCTGAAAAAGTCATCAATAACTGAAAAAATCAAATTTTATGGAGTTTATAATTACAAGGCATTGAGTCGGAGCAAATCGTTGGAGCAAATCGACATACACTATAGTTTGAACAAAAAAAATATTGTGAATTTTCAATGATGCTTACCAGCGCCATCTTACAATCGACCATATGATGCGAGGATTTTATAGAGCCTATCACAGCAGTTTAACTTTTATTTAGTTTTATCACTTTACGTCACACTACACACACTCTTATTGAAAAATAAAAAAAAAGCTGTTTCTCTTTTTCACTGTTTCAAAAGGTCGTCGTATTCGTATTTGTTGTATACTTCATTCTTTTCTCTTTCATGTAATAAAAGTGACTTCTTTTTTCTTCTCATAACAGAAAAAGAACACGTTTTTGTACGGTTAACTACTACTAAAAATCAACATGTTGCGTACATCATCATTTATATTATCCAATTTTCGTTATCCGTTATCATCGACAATAATTCGTTTGGCATCCACAGATGCTACAGCCGGTTCGATTAATGCCGCCCACGACAAATTCAGTGAACGTGAACAAGCGTTAGAAAATCAATATTTTCGAAAGCAAAGTGAAGAATTGATTAAAAATTTAAAAACAAAACATGATGAATTGGATCGCAAAACCCAAGATTTGACACGTGAACAACAAGAGCTTCGAGACGAAATTGAGAAATTGGAGGCATGGTGGAAGCCAAAATCACCCTCAACATCGACCAAAAATAAGACATAAACAGAATCCAGGAAGCTGTTTAGTGACTAGATTATACAGATACGATTTCCTAGTGATACTTTTCTATCTTTTTGCTGTAAAAGGCGTCTTTTGAAAATGAAAAACAATGTCTAGAAGGTTTATGATTTTGATTAACCAGTGGAGGATGAACAATGTGTCGCGAAACACGCATACATTGATATACTGAAAGAGCAAACCAATATCTAATGAGTAGGGGAATAGAAATTTCGCCAACTTATGTTTGCTTATCTTTTGAAATTTACGACATTAGTTCGAAAACAGTAAGTTTTTAGAAGTCAGATTTGCACTAATCTTACCTCGATCTCTGTGATTTGTCTACCTTTTCTATGCTCTAGCTTCTAATTAAAACTCTACCATATCACATACAAGCAGTAGTGCTTTTTTCCATAGGGGAAGATCCTTTTACAAGAAAGATTCTGCGTATATTTAAGGAAGAGCAATTAGTAGATCTGATGCATGAAAAACATTGAAGTTCTACCTACGATTTATTGTGATATTTTACTTCAAAACAGGGGCTAATGTGGCACATTGTAACGCATTAAGTCAGATGGAATGCACTGTGAAATATCCATCATAAGAAATTTAACGATATGACTTGAGTTTTTATTTTATAACAGAAGCTTTAAGCTATTCTCTCTCAAGTTCAACATCAACATGTTGATCTTACATTCTCTTAGAGTATGAAATGATTAATTGTATGACTTCAACAATCATTATTTTAAAACTTTTATTTAAAACAGGAGCTTTCGATTACAACTGTAATCATCGTCAGCTACATTTAGACGAAAAACACTCACAGTATATATGTTCATTTTACTATTCTTTTCTGTTCTCTTCTCTTCTGTGAATGTAGTAGATATTTCTAAGAATATTCTTTTTTTCATTCTCTTAGAGAACGTAGTGAAAAATTCTACGAAATATGCACACTATATATATGTACATTAGAGTGAGTGAGACCGCAGAAATTCATTGTTGTTAAACGTAAAACTTAACTCAAAACTTAAAACTAAAAGTGTGAGTTTGAATATTTGACCTGTTTAATTAAACACCATAAGCTCATGGCTGATCTTATTGCAGCAACTTGATTCTTCATTGTATTAGCATTTCTTTAATTTCTCTTTTTTTCCAGTTTGTATCACGTGCCATGATAATAGGTTGA